CCCCCCACCACACATATATCACAGAATGGGTCTCCACTATAATGTCAGGTCCCCGGCCCAAAAACACCAAAGGAAAAAATTACAACTGAATAGTTTTCACCCATTCCCTTAGGAGACCAAGATTGGTTGTCTGGGGTTGGCTGTGTGACTCTCATGGGGTCAAAACTGGGGTTAGTTGCCCTAGGGCACGTGTTATAAGGTGAGTAAGGTCCCAGGTCCTTTCTGTTGATGCATGAAAAACTACTGAAGGAGGCAGGGGGCCCGTCGTGTGAGCTGAGGGACTGCTTTGGGAGTGGATCTCCCACTTTATCCCCCAAGCCCCGGGCCAGTGTCCCTCTGGCTTCTTCAGCAATGCCACCTCTGCTTCCAGGGAGCCTGCGTGGGGTCTTCTTGCTCAGGAGGCTTCAGTGAGGGTGTGCAGGGAACTGGAAATAATGTTGTTGTAATACCTCTTAATCATTTAAAATTTCAAAACCATTTGTTTGCTGAGCTGGGGAGGAGCCAGAGAAGGTTTCTTAGATTTCCAGCTCCCCCAGACCTCCAGAAGCCCCCTCCCCGTCTCTGGCAGCCCCCAAGTTGGTGCAGTGTGTTCTTTTTTAAAAAACTTTTTTATTGATTGGTTGCTTTTTTTTTTATAAAGAGAGGGAGAGACAGACAGACAGCCATTGACTTGTTGTTCCACCCATTCACTGATTGATTCTTGTATGTGCCCAGACCAGGGATCGAACCCAAAATACTGGTGCATCCAGACAAAGCTCCAAACAACTGAACCACCCAGCCAGGTCATTAAATGCGCTGTTAACGAGGTATTAATCAACACCCCTCAGGAAAAAATAAAAATTCTAATAGAAAATGCCCAGGATAGCCCTAACCAGTTTGGCTCAGTGGATAGAGCATCGGCCTGCGGACTGAAAGGTCCCAGGTTCGATTCTGGTCAGGGGCATGTACCTTGGTTGCGGGCACATCCCCATTAGGGAGTGTGCAGGAAGCAGCTGATCGATGTTTCTCCCTCATCGATGTTTCTAACTCTCTATCCCTCTCCCTTCCTCTCTGTAAAAAATCAATAAAATACGTTTAAAAAAAAAAAAAAGAAAGAAAAGAAAATGCCCAGGATAGCATGTTCCACAGGGCACCTTCCAGTGCCTTGCTCTGGTCTCCAGGGACTGCTTGAGCGAGAATTCTCTATCCACCTTCTGTGACCCCCCTCCCCAACCAACCCCGATACACACACACACACACACACACTCCCTCACGTGATAGATGCCTCTGTAGCCCAGGGTCAAAGGGCACAAGGGTCTTCCCTCCAACCCCCCTCCGTTGTCCCGGGAGGCCCCAGGCCTGCCTGAGCCCAGATTCTGGCCCTGCTAGAGTATACTTCTTCTTCCAAACGAACAAAAGATACGGCTGAAATGCTCAGCCTCACGCTTCCTGGGGGGGTTAATGGTGTCTTTTTATTTTTTCCTGAGGGGTGTTGATTAATACCTCGTTAACAGCGCATTTAATGACCTCCGGGTGTTTAATAACCTTCAGAAGTTTCCCACAAAGGCTCAGACTCTGGGCAAGAAAATGAGAACCAGGCCCCAGGGCTGCTCCCCTTACCTTCCCCCGCCCCACCAGGGTCTGGGGCCTCCCTGAGCTGATTGAGGAGGGGGTGGGGTGGAGAGAGAGGGAAGAAGAGGGTGCCTGGGACTGGCCCCAGATCCCCCAAGTTGCACGCAGCCCTAGTGATCTGATACTGAGCGGTGCCTTCCCTCATGCCAGCAGGACTGGGACAGCTGGCTCCGGGGTCAGGGAGCTGAAGGGCACCCTTGGGATGGAAGGGAGTCTGCGAGGGCCTGGAGTGGAGCTGGGAGGGGTGTGAATCATGGCATGAAGGGTGACAATATGCAGGGACATCTAGCTTGTGGACTTGGCTCCCCCTGCCACCCCACCCCCCACTCCCCCCCCTCGTGCTGCTGTCTTCTCCCTACTCTGGCCCGGACAACTCGGCCTTCCTACTCCACAGGGTACTGATTGTTTTGAGCACAGTCTGACCGCAGCTGATGTGCAGTGTGGTGGGAGAGGCCAGGAGAAGCAGAGTTCTCTGTGGATGCTGGTTTAGGTGTTAGTGACAAAGTCAGGCTGGGCTTCCCAGAAGCCCCTGACCAGCTGAGCTATACCAAGCTCCTCCCCAGATCATATGGAGTGGGCAGGCCTTTGTGATCATGCCCCCAAAGGACTGACCTTTCCCAGGAGCCATCTCTTACTACCACCCCCACTGATGTGTGTGGCCCCCGCCCACCAACATATGCAGAGAACACCCAAGGACGTGCCCCTTCGAGTCTTTGTTCTTAATGCTTGTTACCGATGCTGAAGGAGCTTGCTTCTCCTCCCACAAGACCTGAGCAGAAGGGGAAAAATGAAACTGCCAAAAAGTGGAAATAATGAGAAATAAACAGGGATTGGAGCAGGGAAAGAGATATAGTAACTATTTGCTGGCTTGTCGATTAGCAGACGGTATTCTTGGAAAGAATCAGGCTGTAGAATCAGTGTTATAAATGTGAATTCTAGCTCCTGAATTCATTAGCTGTGTGACTTCGTGTAAGTAACTTAAACTCTCTGAGTTGATTTCCTTACCTGTAAACTAGAGATAATAATAGTACCTACTATACTATTTGAGGTTATTGTAAGACTTGTGTTGTGCCTGTAAAACATTTAGCACAATGCCTGGCTCACAGTTAACACATGGTGGCCAGATCAGCCCATGTGCCTGAGCGGCGAGAGGTAAGGGGCTGATGTAGTCAGGAGGAACTGGCTACAGGGACAGAGGGCAGGCTTCCCAGGCAACGCTGCTATTCTCTTCTGGCTCCAGCTGAAGCAAAGGCCTAGGGAAGGCCAAGGAGGGGGGCTGGTAGCAGAGGAAGAGGGTATAATAGCCATCCCTTCTCTGTCCTCACTCCCATCCTGGGACCTAATGACCCACCCTGGGCCTCCCCCAGCTCTATGGCTACTGCTACCAGGACAGCGAGGACATCCCGGACACCCTGACCACCATCACGGAGCTGGGCGCCCCTGTGGAGATGATCCAGCTGCTACAGACGTCCTGGGAGGATCGATTCCGAGTGAGCAGGGAGGAGGGCCGGCCCTGGGCTCTTGGCTGGGATGGTTCTCCCTTAGAAGGCCAGCCCACCAGAGCAGCTTCCAGCCAGACATCGAGGACCCAGACCTTTTTTGGGCTCCAGCTACACACACTCTTCCCCCACATACACTCTCAGCCTGGTTGCAGAAAGGTCACTGTCCTTCTCTTGCCACACACTGGGCTAAAACCACACGCAAGATGCAACTTCAGGGAGGAGATCCATTATCCCCAGACATCCCTGCGGCCCACTTCCCACTTACTCCGTGTTACTTTCAGGGTCAGGTCAGCCAGGGGTTAATAGAAAATCACTGGCTTGCTCTATGAGGCCCCTGGCCTCAGCCCTTAGTGAGCACGAGGCTTTTAAAGTAAAGGTCAGCCCCCCTGAGCTAAGTCTGGAGTTCCAAAGGAGGGAGCCCTGGAGCCCCAGGAGAAAAGCAGTGAGCAGCCTTGTGTCTGCCCCTCAGATCTGCCTGAGCCTGGGCCGCCTCCTTCACCACCTGGCCCACTCCCCGCTGGGCTCTGTCACTCTACTGGACTTCCGCCCCCGACAGTTTGTGCTGGTGGATGGGGAGCTGAAGGTGACGGATCTGGATGATGCACGTGTAGAGGAGACACCGTGTGCCAGCAGCGCCAACTGTATACTCGAGTTTCCAGCCAGGAACTTCACCCTGCCCTGCTCAGCCCAGGGCTGGTGTGAGGGCATGAACGAGAAGCGCAACCTCTACAATGCCTACAGGTGACCTCCACCCCCTACTCACTCGGGAGGCCAGCGAGGGAGCGTGGGCCGGGAGGGCATGGCTCGGAGAGAGCCAACAGGAGGCCAGCCAGAGGGGGAGGCTCAGCCTTGGCCAGTGGAGTAGCAGGAGGGGAAAGGCTTCCACCCAGTCAAGAAGGGAACATTCAGGCTCCTGAGGGTGAGGCTAAAAATAGCTGCTCCAAGGAGAATCTGGGTTGGGGGTGGCAGCTGGAGGCTTCTTAAAATAGTGTCCGACTCAGAGCTTAGGGCCATGA